ACTGTTTCTTCGAAATTTTTTTGTCAAATTCAACACTATGTTTAAAGAGCCATTCCTTCATTTCACACTTTTTACTAGAAAAAGTGGGTGGTTTATCCAACTGAACCGAATGATACGGTGCATTGTCTAAAACCACCACACATTTTTGGTTCAACTTTGCCAAAGCAGGAATGAGCTGATTAACCACCCAATTTTGAAAAATTGTCCCGTCCATCGTTTTATGATAGTCTCTATCGTTATTTTTTGAATTTAAAAAATTGTAACAACCGTCCAAGAACCCCATTGAACAACCCGCGTGGAGAATAGTAAACCTTGATCCTTCACTTTTAATTTTGGTGGGATTGCTTTTTAAATCAGTATCGTGCACCCAGCAACGAATGGACGCACCATTTTGATAGATCCATGTTTCATCCAATTACACGAAAGTCAAATTTTTACAAGAATTTAGAAACTGTAAATATGTTCTCAAAAAAGTAATTTCGGCTGCGACGACATGTTTTTGTTCACATAGAAATTTGCAACCATTTACTTCCCTGTGTTTATAACCCATTGACTTTTGTATAATGTGGTTCGCCCCCCTTTAAATTCCAACTGTTCCCTAGAATATGCCAAAAGAGTATCTACAGTGAAATATTCGTTTTCTTCATTAAGTTGCCAAATTTGTCGTTGCAGGTCTTTCCGAAACATATAATTTGTAAATAAATCCGTTGGTTTTCGCTTGCCAGATAGTGATGTTTTTAAATTTTGGTCCCCTGTTGATAAAATTTTCGCCACAATTGATGTTCCCACCTATGAGAAAAAAAATTAAAAAATATCTTACAGGGTATTTTTACATTAAAAAAATATGTTCGAGACCCTCGTTACTTCGTCGAAAGAAAGATCGGGCCTGTCTTTTCGAAACTGCAAAAAACATCTTTTTATTGCAATTTTTTATTATTATATTAAGACCCACCACTGACCCGGAAATGACCGGCATTCAGGCAAGACTTCTATCATTACGGGTACTAAGACCAAGTAATGATATGCGTTGATTAGATTAACAAAACAACTTTTGAGATTCTAGAATTACAGCATACAAATTAGTCTGCTATTATTCTCTAATCTCACCCCATCCCCAAAAGTCTAGCGTAACTACCGATCATTTATCCGCGCATCACTTGGAAAGTGACCTACACTACTCTGACCTACTGGTGCTAATCTAATCTGACTGACATGATCAGACTGTTCGAGAAACTTACGAACTATATGACATGTTCCTAACAAAACAACTTTTTGAATTTTGACAATTATTGAATCATTCAAATGCAAAGACTTTAAATTCTCAACTAAGCTATTTGGGACTACACCTACATTAGAGATAACTAGGGGTAGAATTGAAATTTTTTTAAGATTCAACATGGATTTCATTTATATCGATAATTGTAGATAATTTGAAATCTTGGTGTGGTATGTTTGAATAATGTTGTTTGTGTTAGGAATAGCAATGTCAATGAGAATGGCTTCGTTCGTGTGTCTTTTGATAAGTATGATGTCTGGTCATTTAGGTGTAATGTTCAAGTCTGTAAGTATTGTGCGATCCCAGTATAATTTGTATTTGTTATTTTCAAGGAAAGGAGATGGAATGTAAGTGTAATAGGGTGTCATATCTTTGATTAAGTTCATAAGTGTTGCTAATTCTTTGTGAATGATTTTGGCTGCGTTGTCGTGTCTAACTTTGTAGTCAGTTTGTGCCAGGATGCTGTAGGAGGAGATTATGTGCTGGATCGTTTCAGGTTTTGCTTTGCAGAGGCGACAGAAGTCGTTTCTTATATTCGGATCTTTGATGATGTATTTTCTGTAATTCTTGGTATTGATTACTTGGTCTTGAATAGCAAACACAAATCCTTCTGTTTCGGCATACAAACTTGATTTTTTTAACCAAATCAATGACATCTTATTGACATGAGTTTCTTCTAAGTCTTTGTAGAATTTTCCATGTAGTTGTTTTTGTTTTAGCCCACTTATTATTTTGTCTATTGTGTGGGGGGTGTGGATTTCTTCGGTGTTCGACAGATTTAAGGGTGTGTGATTCAAATCTGCTTTTGTGATGGTGCGAAACATTTCATTTCTTTCTGCTCGTTTCAAGAAATACTTCTTCAGATGTGAGATTTGTCTCTGATATAAGTTTTCTAGGTTCTGGAAACCCCTTCCTCCATTCTGTCTTGGTAATGAGAATCTTTCAATGGACGATTTTGGATGATGCCTTCTATACTGTGTGAAGATTTTCCTTGTTGCGATGTTTAAATTTTCAAGATCAGTTTTGGACAATTTAATCACTCCAAAAGAATATGTTAGCAGTGGAACGCAGAATGTATTTACTGCTTTCATTAAATTTTTTCCATTTAACTGTGTCTTCAATATTAATTTTAATCTCGCTAGGTATTGATCTTTCAACTGTGTTTTCGTTTTGGTATGATTGATGTGGGAGGATTGACAGAAACCCAGATATTTGTATGTAAGATTTCGTTCTTGGGTTTCGATTATTTCGTTATTCTGGGTTATATGTGATACTTGGTGTTGAACCCCTTTTCTGATTGCTTGGGTCTTACATTTCTCAATACCAAAACACATACCAATATCACCGGAAAACTGTTCAGTCAGATTTAATAGGTTTGTTAACTGATTTTGTGTACTTGCATATATTTTTATGTCATCCATATACAGCAAGTGACTTATTCTGTTTTCTCTTTGTTTGTTAATTCTTATATTGAACCCATAATTGCAGCTGTTCAGGATATCGGAGAGGGGATTTATTGCTAAGCAGAACCATAACGGGCTAAGAGAATCGCCTTGAAAAATTCCTCTTCGGATCATTATTGGATCTAACTGAATTGTTTGTCCATTTAAGATTATTTGGAGGGTTGTCTTCCAAAAGTCCATGGAACATTTGAGAAAAGTGTAGATTTTAGTATCAATTTTGTATAATTGCAGAATTTTGCATAGCCAGGAATGAGGGACAGAATCGTAAGCTTTCTTATAATCAATAAAAGCAGTATATATGTTTCGGTTTTCTTTTCTAGCTTGTTCACAGATCATGGAATCTATGATTAATTGCTCTTTGCAACCAAAGGATCCTTTAATACATCCTTTCTGTTCTTCATTAATGATGTCAGAGTTAAAACAGTGTTAATAGATTTTTTGTGTAATGCATGAGGTTAATATTTTATAGATTGTCGGTAAACATGTGATAGGTCTGTATTTTTATGGATTTTTTGTGTCGTTATCTTTAGGTTTTAGGTATGTTACACCATAACATAAGAATGTTGGAAAGGAGGATGGGTTATGAAGGAACTGATTTAAATGATGTAGTAAATGAATATGTACAATTTTACCCAAAAATTATGGATTTTGTCTGGTCCTGGTGATTTCCAGTTGTGTGTTTTATTGATAGTATTTATTAATTCGGCAAGTGTTATCTGATGATCATTCATTGGTGTAACTGTGAATAGTTTATGGGATATATGAGGAATCCATTTGGCAGATTGGTTAAATTCAAATTATTGAGACCAAAGTTTTAACAAAAATGTTGTTACATCCTGTGAACTTGGAAGTTCACCGGATAATTGAGTTTTGCTTGAATTAGTTAAATGTTGATAGAATAGTTTTTCGTTGTTTAAAAATTTAGTGTTATGAATTTTTCTAAGATGTGATTGTTTGTATCTTTTAAGTCTTTTGCTGTATAAGGAAAGCTTTTGTAATAGGTATCTTTAATTTGGGATAGTGTTGTGTTGTAATCATCGTAATCAGTTTGATGAAAATTATTATTATTGGTCAGTATCGAATGCATACATGTCATGATATGTGGTGTTTTAACTCCTCTAAGGTACTGTGTTATTTGACCTAGTTGTTTTCTAATGTTATTAATTTTATAATTTAACCGTGTTTCCCAATGAGGGGTGGAGGGTATATGATTGGTGTTTGTATTTATTATGTTATCTTTACATATGTTAATTTGAATACAAGTTAAACTGCACAGTAAATAATTGTATGAAGTTTTTCAAAAGAGATCCAGTTTGTGAGATATTTTGGTAAAATGAAGGAGTTCATTATTTCTACAATTGCCAGAAACTTTTTAGAATAACACTGGCGGGGAAGTGAATGTCTATCATTTGGTTTTAATTTAAAACATGTTTCGAAAGTTAATTTAAATTGGTCTTCAATTTCATTTTGGAAATTACTTCTATCATTACGGGTATTAAGACCAAGTAATGATATGCATTGATTAATGTCTGGGATCTGTTTGATAGTGTGTTGGTAATTTGTGTTATGGTTGTGAATCTGTCACAATCACAAATTATTATCTATGCTGACAAAATTAAAACATTTGTTTGCTTGATTAAAAAATTGCGTCTAATAATTTTGATCAAATAAATGAAGTAGAAAAATGACAATCGAGCTCCAAGCAAATGTCAATCAGACTACTGACAGACAAAAAACTAAATCATCAAGTCAGTTTATCCAACTTAAAGAAAAAATATCAACGCCTACTTTACTACTTATAGATCGTGAAAGGATAATATTTAACAATTTTTTTTTAGTTAGTTTTAATATGTAATGAGTAGTTTAAGTTCAAATATGTATTATCTAAGTTATAAGTGTTATAAGAAATGAATAAAATATTAATGTGTGAAAAAAGTTATTTTTATTGCATATTTTGCACATATTTCTTGCATATTTTAGCAATTTTTTGCATATAATGCTAAATTTCTCTGCATATATATATTCATACTTAGATGTTTTTTCTGCATATAATTCCGACCTTTAGTCATGAGTTACACTATGCCAGTGATATGCAAATTCCTTCAACGACATTAATTTACCCGGACATATTTTGTTCATTAAGACCGAAAATCTCGTTAAAATTAACGTTCGCTTTAAAAAAAGCCCGGCAATTTGTTCAGTGATTGTAACTCGATTGTGTTCTAGTAGTCTGGTTGGGAAAATTAAGGCTGGTCACTCACACATGCAACACGTTCCAAATCCACCGGCGCACGGACCATTTGCTGTGCCGCCCCTCTGGGAGCATTCAGGGGCGGAAACGCAGGTGCCATTGTCTCCGGTGGCTCCCATGCAGATCTGGTTGCTGAACTGAACGAATGTGAAGAGGGATAAAACTGAAAATGTTTTTGTTTATTTTAGGTTTTATTGTACTTCCAGGAGAAATTTTCAAGACAAAAATAAACTAAAGCGAGCATGTAAAAATAAAAATTGGTCTCGTATGCATGCGGGTATATCTGTCTTTAAATATATGAATATTAATATTGGCCGTTAATTTGTGGCTACTGTATTATTTAAATAACTATACATACTATAGATATATATGATAACATCTAAATGTCAAAATGATAGATAACTGACACAGTTAATTCACAGATTCGTTTAACTGATTTAAGATAATTATACTCTTTTAATGACATTCTGGACTGACATCCTTGTTGTTCTTAAATTATACCGTCACACAACACAAGTAAGTTACACATGAAAAATTCACTTTACGAGTTGTTTAAAAGACCAAGCCGAGGGTTTATGACCGTCAAATCTCATTGGTGAAAACACTCTAATTTGTAACCCTTGGTTTGTAGTAATTTCTAGAACGAGAATTTTTTTGTCAGTTCATTTTCTTCTTGCTCAACCAAAAATAAGTTGCATATAATAAAACATAGATAACGAAGTATAACTGAGACCAGGAATTAGTAAACATTGATATTGTATTAATGCACGTCTAAATCATAGAATCTTTGTTCCATTCGGGCAAGCACGGAAACGGGTGATCTAATTTTTTATAAACGTCAAGAAAACAAAGTTTACTTTTATTTATTGAACACAAATATGTATTATGTTGCTGCAGTCTTAATAAGTGAAAATTTGATGGATGAATATATTTATGACACTGCAGTCAAATTTTCAACAAAGCTGTGCCAATTGAATGAAATTTCCACTTTAGCAAATTGCGCCCTTTCAATTCGGACACATAAATAATAAAATCTTCATGTTTCTACTTCGTAACTATGGAGCAGTGTGATTAATAATTTAATAAAAACGAAAATCAATATCAACGTTTATAATTTCGCACTTAGATAGACATCATCGAATTTTTCACAGTTGTGCACTGAACCAGGTAAATGAGTTTCTCAACTGTCTCAAGTTTGGTTGGTATAACTTTTTTGTACCTAAATTTTATACTTCTTATTGTATATTTTAATATCATTTGTAAATTAATACTTGAACAACTCAGGATATTGCCAAAGCTACATTGTTTATTAATACCAAAATGTTGGCTTCATTTTAATATACAAAATTTTTTAGAAAAAAATCTAGTACGAAATAACAGTGAGCCTATAATATGTTTTTAGATTCAGATCAATATATTTATATTTGATTAAGGCAACGAAAAAAATCATACCTTCCCCTGACAATTAATTAAATAATAACAAAACATTTTTTGCTTACATCGTCCCTGCCTGGAATTGAGCAGAAAAGGATTCACCACATTACTCCTCATAACATCCGTCAGTAAACTCCGTTGCTTGAGTTTTTTGGGCGGATTTTGCAAAATTTCGCCCCCGGCAAACGCAAACACCACCAGCCAAACAAAAACATTAACCAAATACATACCGCAGAATCAACGAATCAAAATATCAAAACACAAATATCGCAAAATTACACCTTCCGGTCTTTCGCAGCGAAGTGAACACGTTTTCAAAAGTACGCCGCTTTATAACTTGCCTCGTTTTCCACTTGCTTGCTTTAATCGCATCACAAGTCAGTGACGGTCTCTCCTCGAGTGGAAGAGATGGCAGGCAATTATATTTTTCTGGTTCTTTGTCTGCTGCACCTTATTTAACTTATAAACAGAACCTACAATTCTACTTTTCGGTTGTTTTAAGTATAATAAAATAGCAGGGAAACCGGGACACTTTTTTAGAAGTTATAACAATGAGAGAATTATATAAAATTTCAGATGTGGAGATTGTAACAGAAAATCATATTTCATAATTTTTCAAAGACGCGGGATTTGTTTCTGGGACGAGCCGAAATAAACTTCGACTAACTTTTTTATATTCTGGGGATTATGACTATAAAACGTCGACAAAACATGAAAGTAGCCAATACTTTTCTAACCTACGCTCCGAAAGTAAACATACAGCTTTGTTGTATAAGTTAAACGGAACACTCAGTATGCTGAAAATGCTTTTAAATTACGATGTTTCACTTTCCATCCTTTGACTGTTGCAACACCCTGTATGAATCTATTTTACATGAATATTTTGGCAGAAGTAGTGAAAAAATTTTAATTCTCTGTTGTGTCATTAACTGTCGAAAAATACAATATTTTCGAAAGACGTATTTAAATCGAGTTTTTTAATTTCTTTTTCACAAATTGTATGTAAAATTCGTAATTTCGTATTCATCCACACAGCGCGAAAATTATGTTCTGCTAATGAATAATGTTGGAGTATTTTAATTAAGATTTGTTTACTGTGCGCTGCATCGATGAATAAAAACTCTGCAAAAAATCTCTGATGACATGCTATCAGCGTTGTTCATTTTTCATGTTACGCATAGGAGTTCAGTTGAGGTCAGTTTTGATTTTGTTCAGAGCGTGTGCGCTCTGTCTTTTAGTTTGTTTAAGTGGTTTATTTTTGTTAAAAAGTTTTGGGCTTAAACTGAAAGGTGAGTGTTGTGATGTGCTCATGGAAATTAGAATTTAAAGGATAAGTGTTGCTATTAAGCTTTATATATCGGTCTATTATTCAATGTATTGTGTCCTATTTCTTCAGTTCTTTTATTCTAGATTGATATTAGAAAATACGGAGGTTAAGGGAGAAGTTGTTGTATTGTACAATTCGTTATTTAACAACTTAATAAATATGTTTATTTCAATAAGAACTCAAACGTTAATGGCTCCTCACTGGCTCATTCGGATGAAATAATTTGGCATATCTAATAAGTTTTTATCAATGTTAATTATTTTCCTCTCTCTCATTATTATTTCCTCGCCCTTAAAGTACAATAAACATACTAACATATATTTTTTCTGTATTAATTTAAAATGGCTTACCCTTCCAGCTAAAAACAACAGCGTTTACAGAATTTCAATATCTCTATCCGTTTTCAAGATACAAGGCCGCGGAATTTTGTCTAGGTTAATTTCATTATTTATGATAACTTTAATTATTTGTTTCAGTAGTATGATTTTTTTAACTGGATAATTCTACAAAGTAAATACAGAAACAGAGTTATTTTGTTAATTATAACAGAATCCTAATTGAAAAGTAAATTAATTCTAACACAAATGGGATATTCGTTGTTTTTCAGAGAAGAGCGAAGTTCTCTATAAACAATTTTAATTATTTTTTTTCTTGTTTTTGGTTTCCAATGTTGATAATTTTTTCACTTCTTAATGATTCGTGCATTAAACAGAAGGCACAGAGTAAAAGGAGAAATGTAAATGTGTTTGGGTTTAAAATAATAATTTTAAACACACATTTTATCTTACCGATTGGTAAATCCCACCAGTGATTTTATTTTCTGCACTTTTTGAATTAATGTAATGATCAAATAATTAAGACAGATTTTCTCACAAGACCAACGCACCTAGAACTAGAAGTATTTAAATCACTTTCGCGTACGTCAAAAATCACAACTAAAAGTTATGAATATAAATAGCCCGAGTAGTAACCCTTGCGTTACACTCATCTAGTGTAATTGATAAGAACTTATTACAATTCTGTAACTGCATGACTACGAGTGGAGATTATATGGTTCGTACTACTGAGTTTAGGGTATTGTGGGATTAAAATCAAAGATATCAAAAAGATTTAAAAACCCCTCTTTGCTATAACTTGTGTTCTTTTTTTCAAAACTCAGTCTCTGATATTTTGAAAGTTTTAGTATGACTCGCTTTACCACTACTCTTTCCGAAACCAAATTAGCACTGAGAGAAAATGTTATTTATTTAAATATAATTTTCCAATTGGTTTTTACTTCCCGAGCGTAAGCTAAGGAAGTATAGTAATCGAGTCCATCGGACGAGTGGCTACTTTTATATTTTCTCGACGTTTCATGACCCCGTTTCCGTCTGTCTGTCTGTCTGCATCCATTTTTATTAGACACGAAATCTCCAAAATTGCTGAGTCGATTGTTGTCAAATTTTCTACATATATTAGAAGTATCATGCAGATGGTTTAATACTAACTAAAATTTTGCTAGTCAGCCCCACCAACGATTTGATGACGTCATTTCAGAAAATGCTAACTTTTATACAGTAATGTACTCCTATAAGTGTGATTTCCCTAAACGTCCAAATTTTCGCAAAAACATAATGCACGGTATACATATTAATAGTATTAGCGTAAGGTGGTTACGGGTCATGTATGTGGACCGGACGTCGTGTTTTTCCTTTTTTTTCCTTTTTTTCTCTCGCATTACCTATTATCTATGTTTATGACGTCGTACGTTATTTTTCTTTGTATTCGCACTCATAGGATTTTTTTTTAGTTATTTTAATATATATTTCCAGTTATTGGGTATAAACCCGCTGGAAAATAAAGTACATATTATTGTTATTATTATAACAAATTTTTTTATTGATGAAATTACCTCACTTTCTCGAAAAGGTGAGAATACGTTCCTCTGTATTTAAAAATGTAAAACCTTCTCGGTGGGGCCAAATATATATTTTTTTAATGTGAAACCTTCACGGGGGTCCCAACTCTCTTTTTTAAAAATGTAAAACCTTCTCGGGCGCGCCAAAGGTATATTTTTAAGAATATGAAATCTCCTCGGGGGTCCCAACTGTCTTTTTTAAAAATGTAAAACCTTCTCGCCAAATGTCTTATTTTAATGTGAAACCTTCGCGGAGGTCCCAACTGTCTTTTTTAAAAATGTCAAACCTTCTCAGGGGTAACAACCGTTTTTTTTTTTAATGTAAAACCTTCTCGGGGACCCCAAATGCCTTCTATTTAATGTGAAATCTTCTCAGGGGTCCCAACTGCGCCTTTTTTAACTGTGTAACACCTTCTCGGAGGTCCCAGTGTCTTTTTTAAAAATATCAAACCTTCTCAGGGGTAACAACCGGTTTTTTTTTTATGTAAAACCTTCTCGGTGACCCCAAATGCCTTCTATTTATTGTGAAATCTTCTCAGGGGTCCCAACTGTGCCTTTTTTAACTATGTGAAACCTTCTCGGGGGCGCTAAATGTACCTTTTCAAGAAAATGAAACCTTCTCAGGGGTCCCAACTGTCTTTTTTAAAAATGTAAAATATCGGGAGCGCCAAACGTATATTTTCAAGAATGTGAAACTTTCTCGGGGGTCCCAACTGTCTTTTTTAAAAATGTGAAACCTTATTAGGGGTCTCAACCGTCTTTTTTAAAAATGTGAAACCCCCTCGGGGGTCCCAAATGCCTTCTTTTTAATGTGAAGCCTTCTCAGAGGTCCCAGTTGTGCCTTTTTTAAAAATGTTAAATCTTCTCGGGAGCGCCAAACGTATTTTTTAAACAATGTGAAACCTTCTCAAGGGTAACAACGTTTTTTTTTAATGTAAAACCTTCTCGGGGAACCCAAATGCGTTTTATTTATTGAGAAATCTTCTTAGGGGTCCCAACTGTGCCTTTTTTAACTGTGTAAAACCTTCTCGGGGGTCCCAACTGTCTTTTTTATAAACGTAAAACCTTCTCGCCAAATGTCTTTTTTTAATGTGAAACCTTCTCGGAGGTCCCAACTGTATTTTTTAAAAATGTGAAACCTTCTCAGGGGTAACAACCGGTTTTTTTTTAAATGTAAAACCTTCTAGGGGACCCCAAATGCCTTCTATGTGTTGTGAAATCTTCTCAGGGGTCCCAAATGTGTCTTTTTTAACTATGTAAAACCTTCTCGGGGGCGCTAAATGTATCTTTTCAAGAATGTGAAACCTTCTCAGGAGTCCCAACTGTCTTTTTTAAAAATGTAAAACCTTCTCCGGAGCGCCAAACGTATATTTTCAAGAATGTGAAACCCCCTCGGGGGTCCCAAATGCCTTCTTTTTAATGTGAAATCTTCTCAGAGGTCCCAACTGTGCCTTTTTTAAAAATGTGAACTGTTCTCGGGAGGGGCAAAGGTATTTTTTTAAGAATGTCAAACCTTCTGGGGGGGTCACAACTGTGTTTTTAAAAATGTGAAACCTTGTCAGGGGTAACAACCGTTTTTTTTTTAATGTAAAACCTTCTCGGGGACCCCAAATGCCTTCTATTTATTGTGAAATCTTCTCAGGGGTCCCAACTGTGCCTTTTTTAACTATGTAAACCCTTCTCGGGGGTGCCAAATGTATCTTTTCAAGAATGTGAAACCTTCTCAGGGGTCCCAACTGTCTTTTTTAAAAATGTAAAACCTTCTTGGGAGCGCCAAACGTATATTTTCAAGAATGTGAAACCTTCTCGGGGGTCCCAACTGTCTTTTTTAAAAGTGTGAAACCTTATTAGGGGTCCCAACCGTCTTTTTTAAAAATGTAAAACTCCCTCGGGGGTCCCAAATGCCTTCTTTTTAATGTGAAACCTTCTCAGAGGTCCCAACTGTGCCTTTTTTAAAAATGTGAAATCTTCTCGGGAGCGCCAAACGTATTTTTTCAAGAATGTGAACAACTCTCTTTTGAAAAATGTGAAACCTTATCAGGGGC